CCTCTCTCTCTCTCTCTCTCTCTCTCTCTCTCTCTCTCTCTCTCTTCTCTCTCCCTCTCCATATTTCTCTCCTTTCTATCTCTCTTATTCCTCTCGCTCTCTCTCTTTATATATATATATATATATATAATTATTTTCTATTGTGCGCTATGTTTAAATAGGCGCGCGCCACGCCGTACACTGTGCGTCATGGCTTAATGGGGATCTTTGCGTCGTGCTGTGCCATTTACCAATGACAAATATGAGTCTGACAATACTAGTGAATACTTCACTAGTAGTCTCAATACGTACCTTCATAACCATGGGATTATCCACATAATTTCTTGTGTTGACACCATGCAGGTGTACTAAGAATATACAAGTGCACTAAACAAATGCTTTGCAAAAAGCGTAAGTACGGCTTGCAAATGCATAAAAAAATAAGCATGATACATCAATTGAAATCAATTCAACCAGATGTGTCTTGACCAATACATTGAATTCTTAAATCTACGGTCAGAGAATGTTGCATGGGTTAAAATGGAATGAATATGAAATCTTATAATTATGCAAGAAAATTCAGACTCTCTTTTTAAGATTCAAATGCCAAAGCATCAATATTACAAGCACGCACTCAAATAGGTCGCTCTGCATATAGGGCACAGTTGTAAGTCTCTCATATTTCAAGTCAGATCCTCCTTGCAAGCTTTATAGTTGACAAGGCCTGAATCCCATAAGAAATGTACAAATAATAAGTATTAAATAGTGCATCATAAGTCTTATCCTCACTAAATCGGGAGATAAGAATGTGCTGAAATTTGATGCTGGACAGGTTCTGCCGGCTGATTTCTGCAGAGGGCTTTGGGTGAGGTTGCGGTTGAGTTATGAACTGTGGCGTGGAAGAAGAATGACAGATTGCTGCTGTTGCTATTGGAGAGGGATGAGGACTGAAGCTCTCAATAAGAGCTAGTGATCCAAGAAACTTTAGCACCTTTTGAGTAGGTATAAACTCCAAAAAAAATTAGAAGACAAAGAAAGAGAAGAAACCAGAAATTTTATTCATTCCATAATCTTTTCTTACGATAGGAGGTGTATTTATAGTATTTGGGTAGACTAAGTTTACAACATAGAACCGTTCTACCTAGAACAAATTAAAAGAAATACTAGACTAATGTTTTATTACAAATGTCAACCTATTTGTCATTTATGAAATACCATATGCTCATGTCTAACTATAGTACTCCATATAATGAACTGCTCATCTGGATTGTTCCTTGCTCTACTAGGTTTGCCTCTTGATGCCTAATCACCTAAGACTTTAGTAGAGAATGGTGGTATAAGAGTTGACAAGCGTAAAAGAAACAATAGCAGCCATATCTAGACCTACTATCATCTTAGGCATAAAAGCGGTGCAAAACCAAGATTGATGCTAATCATCTTTTTTTTCTTGATCAAGATAAGGATAAAAGGAAGAAAGAGTTCTAGAAACAGTCTAAGCTGTATCATATTTGCCAACCTATACTATTGTCATCTTTGGTAAAAGATGGATTTAAGTTTCTAGAGGTATGGAATGCTAAAGAACACGAGACTCATTAGGAGGGGCAACCTCATAGGCGACCTTATCGATTAACCACTCCATGAATGCAAACTTGAAGTTGCATTGTCGATTCATTTTGTACTCCAGTTCCTTTTTGAACAACCATGAGTACAGATTTGGGTGGGGCTTCTCTCCAACTTAAATCTTTCGGCAAATTCCTCTGAAATTAAATTTTTCTAACTTCATGAACAAAAGATGGTAGAAAGCATGATTATCTTGAACAAAATATTCAACCTAGCAAATTTTGTAGAAAGCAAGTTTCTTTATGGCCTCATTTCATTATTGACTGTAAGCTTCAAGAGCAAATTTTGTTGGTCCTTTTTTTTTCAAACTATTTCATGCGTTGGTCTTGTTGTTGTATAGGCTGAACCACCGGTTGATTTGTCCAGCTGGTTGATCTTGTGGTTTTTGTTGTTTTATTGTGTTTTAAGGGCTTATTTTGATGTGTTGTTTGGACCTTTCTGGGTGGTAAACGGCTTTTCCATCACTTGCATGGGTTATGGTGGCAATTTGGAAGCTTGCAAAAGGCTAGCTAACTGCTTCTTTTCCGATCCATCCTTGTCTTAAATTCTACAAAATTTTCTTTCCAGCTACATTGCTTCTCACAAGCCGTCAAAAGTAATTGAGGGGTTCCCCTGTTATACCCTTCTAATCTACACTTTTTCTGTATATACCACAGTGGATTGCTTTACCTTTCCTCCATCTTTCAGATTCAATCATGGATAGTGTCAAAAACTTAGCATTGGCATGATCACAGAGTTGGAGATGCATGCATAAAAGGCCTATCATTATTTTGCTGACCTCGATTGTCTTTTCCTCCTTTCTCATCTTTGTATGCGGTCTTTTGGTTGTTTTACCACCAGTCATTAGCTGATTTTTTACTTCTATGGCCATCGCTTTTGGTATTGACATCATCAATCAGGAAGATTATGAAAAATTCCAGTTTTTGAGGGAAGTTGTTATTCGAAGTTCATAGAATTTAGGGCTCATTTAGATTGATTAAACAGAGTAGAGTACCATGTTTGGTTCACCGCACCAGATTGTATGCCTCTATAGCCCCAAAAATATTATCACAAAAGTTTAAGAAGAATATCACAATAGGATGGAGTGCCTCATCAACAATTGTGAGAGGAGACAATTATGGAGAGAAGATGATTTCTTATGCAAAGACAAGCAAATTCGGTAATGACTCACAGTAGAGGGTATAATTGCAAGAACAGCATGTTTGTTGTAAGTCCCACATAGGTGATTGGCACAACAGTCGGATATTAATATAGCCACAAGGCTCCTATACCACGGGAGATTTGAAATATTGATGAATATTTGAATGCAAATGAGCAAATCCACTTGCATAATGCAAATGCTAATTAGGCACTACTTATACTGAAGCATAGAATGGATTACTTTCAAATATAAATGAGTTTTGACTACGTGAATTCTGACACCCAAGAACTAACTAGATTTATGCTCAACTTATATACCAATTTAAACCATAGATGAATTTTTAACTTACACTCAACTCCTCACTTCTCACACATAACCCAACGCAATATCAAACTGCTAAAGAAATGACATAAAAAGAACGATTCACAAGCAGTTAGATTGTGCAGAATAAACATAAAAGGTATGTCCACTTTATTATAGTAGCTATAGTAGCATACTTGATGTTTATACAATTTGCAGAAAAATGGTTCTTGTAAGTTCCATTAAGCATTTAAGCTTCTGCTAACTATTATAGAAGTTCTTGTAGCATTAACTTACTGCACATAGCTTGTTCACATTTTTCATTGCAGTCTTCAAATTGTCAAGTGCCTCCTGATGGTAATCAGCACTCAACCACGAAAAGTCGAAGCGTGCCACTAACAAAGACAAAACTCAAACATATTAGACAACAGAATGATAGAAGCAAAACACGGATAGGAAAATTTGCAACAACTAAACAAACCTGACATTCCTGCTAAAAGACATCCCTCAATCACTTCAATAGAACGTGATTTTGGCCCAAGGGTTCCAACAATCTTGGTTAGAAAGAACCCCTAAAAATATTGTATATCGGCCTTTAATAAATAGATGCTATAGAAAATAGCCAAGAAGGTAAAACAAATATAATAAATTTTCAATTGATCTAAAAACAATTTCATAAGATATATATTGTTTTATCATTTTGTTATGATTCAAATACAGTGTGCCTATAATGCAATCAAGCAAATCAGCAAAAGAACAATAGAAACATGAGAAGAATATCAGAGGGGAGGTAGAAGTGCTATCCACTAAAAAAAATTAAAGCAAAAAAGGACAAAAGGAATTGTCCAAATAATTAATGAATAGACAGCAAAAACTCTAATTTATTTCTGGCAGGTTTAATGCAATCTTTGACTAGATTTAAACAAGTATCCATAAGGACCATAAAGTCCACATCCAATACTCCAATAACCAAATAAAAATTTGTGTATCTTATGTACAAAATAACTTCATAAAAGTTCTTATTTTCTTACCATAACTATTGTACCATAGGCAAATAAAGCCCAACTTGCATAATGACTAATGTTATGAAGTCTGGATACTCTAAAAGAACAAAGAACAACACATGCAAGATCAAGCACACGCATTGATGGAGCCATGAATGTTTCTTAGTAGAGGCACACAAATTAATTTTATTAGTTGGGGAGGCAGAAATTGAATGTTTACCGTTGGAAACATTAAAAAAGACAACCATTTCTTATTGAGTATTGACAACTATTCCAGTAATTCTGAAGAATTATATTTTCGATGAACAGAAAAAATAAGTACTTATCCAAATGTTTAGCAAAAAACTATTGCCGATTCTAAACCGGACTTCCTATATATTGGAATTTTGATGCAAAAAGTGTGTGCCATTAACACGGATTCTGAATAAATCGAATCGGCAAATTATAAGTACGGGAGATGATAATATTAGCACATGGGAAATATATTGGGTACATGATACCCCGACTTGGTTACGAGTTCAACTTTTTTTGAAATTTTAAAAAGATTGTAGCGACCCCAGTTTGTTGCAAGGGGAAATCTAAATATGCCAAAAGAAATTGGTAAACCTCCAAGGAAAAAGCCTTATTTTTATGTATTCAACCAAATGCATTCCATAAATTAATCACATATCTTGTTCGAATAAAGCTAACAATGGTGATGATGATGATGACTGATAAATCATAAGCACATTCACAATGGTATGAGAATTTATAAATAAAAACAACAAGTCAATTCTTAATAGCTGCTTGTAGACATCACAAGTCCATGCATATCGATAGACGAATGCCGGGAGGGAGTAAGAGAGGGAGGGAAGGGAGAGAGAGAGAATACGGGCTTCGATGGCGCCAGAACTGAGGCGAGACGAACGGGCTCCTCTATGAGCATCTGACCTCCATGCATTTCGATGGGGGAAAAATTGACGGATTAGGGCTTCGGGCTTCTCCAGAGTCGGAGAAGGAACAAAGGGCGCCGTAACGGTTGCCTCCGAGTCGCACACGATTGCAGTATACAGAATTTGTGAGAACGTTGCCACGACCGGATTTAGAGGACTCAAATAAAATGTTAATAGGTGGAGTGGAATTTTATATTTATTTTTTAATTTATATATTTTATATGTATGTAGAACTTTAAGTCACTATAAAGCATATTTAAAGTATAGGTAAAGCGTAGTAAAAAAACTCAACAAAAGAATAGTCAAATCGTAACTAAAATATAGATAAATAGCAGGCAAAGCGCTGTAAAAAAATGCAACAAAAGTGCACTCCACATGTCAATTTTTAAATAGATGTCCGGACGTATCTTACGTCCGGTCTCGTCCGGTCTCTGCAACTAATAATTTTCGGTGGCGAACAAGCTAGCGCAGACTTCAAAAGGCTTGTTCTGGAGGGCAGAATCCAATGACAAACATGTTGAAATAGTATAGAATTATTTGGCCAATTAAAAAATGTTATGTTCTTATGTTTGACATAAGTTATCTTTTTTTTTATGTCTGAATGTTTTTTTAAGGGTTAAAAATTACTGATTTTTTTTTTCAAAGGAATTTAAATGTGTCTTTGTCTTGTATATTTTGTATTAGAGTTGAAGAAACTCATAATCAATTTTTTTTTAATGTGAATTTTCCTTTTTATTATTTCAAATTTAATTCCTCAATTGAAGCACTCCATTCTTAGGTCTACTCTTATTCAAATCTTTGACTTCATTTCTAATTCAGATTTGGCTAAGGTTGTTAAGAATCTATTTTTTTCTTGCTTCTTGTTGTACTTAATATTTTTTTATGGAGAGAATGAAATGAGAGAAAATATTGGGGGTAATTTTAAAACAAATGTTGTTTGGTAGGCTTATTAGGCAGGTTATTTTTATGAGATTCCTCATGAAAATCTTACCATGAAGTTAAATATTTGATTCTCTGCGCCTTGTGTTATATTGGTTATGGGTTGGCATGGGCTTTTGGATTGGCTTTTGGTTTTGTTGTTATAGTTTATTAGTCTTCTGTGGTGGTTTGTTTCCCTGCTATTTTTTTTGGTGGGTTGTTGTATGTAGATGCAATGGTTTTTGTTCTTTGGATTGTATTGTTCTTTGTTTAAGGATTCTTTGAGTCTTGTATTGTGGTGTTTTTGGGTAGGTTTTGTTTTCTGGTTTTACTTTGGGTTTTTTTGGTGTTGTCTCTTGGTTTTCTGTGTTGGTTTGTTTCTCTGGTATTTTCTCAGGTGGGTTGATGTTATGGTGATGGTTCATGTTCTTTGGTTTGTTGAGTTATTTGATTGAAGACTTTTTTGGACTATTATGAGTTAGTTATTATTTAAATCCTATAACCTTGGATGGCTAATTTGGTAACCGATTTTTCTCTGAATGGTCATTTATAGCCATCAAATATACTTTGCTCAATGCTATTTTTTCCCATGAAATTGTTGGATTGGCAACCAAATCTAGCTTTGGATGGTCGATTCTTGAAATTTGGTGGTTTTTTATTATTTTCCATAAGTCTTCAGATGGAATTTAATCTTCCCGAGTCCCAGTTGTGGGGGTTCCTTTTAGTTTTCCTATTTCATTATTTTTTTTTCTTGGGGTTTTTTTGTTTAGTTATTGTTTTAGTGTTCCAGTTATTCTTCTTAAAGTGTCTGCAATTTAGATATTGAAATTGGATATTTGCTCGAGTTTTTTGAACTCCTTCTGTGGCTTTGTGAAACACCTTAAGTTTGAACTCCTTATGTGGCTTTGTGAAACATCTTAAGTAAAAAAAGTTAAACTCTTAAACAATGAGATGCATTTTTATGTAATTGTTGAAATTTTATTAAAAAAACTTTGCAATTAATCGTGCTCATCCCGGAGCAATTCTGGGACGGGGGATGTCACGACCCGACCCGATCCGGAACGGATCCCGCTCGCACCGGGTTGCGACTGGAACGAACAAACTGACTGACCAGGATCTGGCTTTGGAATTTGTTTCGAAACTGAATCTTCCAAATATTTCAACTCAAACACAGACACACAGAGCTACTATGAAACATCAAATGCAGCGGAACACCGGTAAAATCACGGAAAGAGAAACCGGCAACAAAACTGACTCCAAACGCAAAAGCTCAAAACAGTGCTCGGACAGAAAAGAGTGACTAGCTCCAGAGTCAAACAAAACACGACAGGGCTGATCAGAAATGTAAATCGTACCTGTCACAACATCTGGAGCATCACGAGCCTCCTGCTGACTCAGGCTGTAAACTCGTGGCTGAACTGGAGCTGGAGCTGAAGCAACAGAACTACTCTGTTCCCTCTGAACAGTAGGTGGTCTCCGTGGTACAAAACTAGAACCATCACCTCTACTAGAAAATCCCTCAGGGCGTGGAGGAACAGTCCTCGGTCTTCCTGCTGCTGAACTGACAGGTCTAACAGAGCCCTCAGATCGAAACTCAGAACGTCGATCAAACCCAGCCTGTGGACACTCTGCAATCCTATGTCATGGCTAACCGCATCGGAAGCACAGACCAGCCATCCTGTAGCACTGGCCAAGGTGTCGCCGTCCACAACTCTGGCACACAGGTGCCATACTGACAGATCCAGAACTCATCGTACTGGTAGCAGTACCAGACAACCCTCCACTCCTCCTAGAGTCGGATCTGGTGACTCCGGATTCAGAACCTGCTACAAATCTCCTCTTTCCAAAGGAATCACTGCCTGAAGCCTCGCCTCCAAATCTCTTCCTACTCGTAGTCCACCGCTGCTGAGTAGCCATCAGGTCATTCTCTATCAAACGAGCTCGCTCCACAAGTTCAGAAAAATCAGTGATACGGAACGGTATCAGGGGCTGCCTCAGAATATCTCATAATCCCCTCAGAAATCTGTAGCACCTCTCAGTAGAAGTACTAACCAGCTGCGGAGCATACCTGGCTAATGCAGTAAACTCAGCCTCGTACTGCATCACCGTCTTACTCCCCTGAACAAGTCTCAGAAAACTCTCCTGCATCTGCTATCGTGCAGAAGGGGGAACGAACCAATCTCGAAAAACATCAGTAAACTCTTCCCAAGTAATCAAAGAGTTCAATATGCCCTAAAACTTGGCCTCCTGCTGGCCAACCCCCCAATGCTCAGCTTCACCATCCAACAGAAATACTGCCAAAGGTACCTTCCTGTATAACAGACACTGCATGCCGTCGAAGGTCTTCTTCACTCTCCTCAACCACTCCTCAGCAGCTCTGGGCTCAATAGCGCCCTCAAACCTCGGAGGTTTCAACCTCAAAAACAACTGCAGATGTCTATCAATGTCCTCAGATCTGACGGTAGAAGCTCTGCTCTGAGTCTCGCTCATCATATGAGCAATGAGTGTAGCAAACTGAGACAGCGTATCAGCACCGGCCACAGGGGCTGTACTCCCCACTGGTGCTGCCTGACTGGTACTCTACCCGTTAGTCATGTCTGGGTCTGGCTGATCCATACAGAAATCCAAAAAAATCCGAAAAAGTACTATCACAAAAACAACACAATAAAAAGCCAAATAAACCAAAACTACCCCAGACCGACTCACTACAGATCACTTCCTATAGCTCTGTTGTACAATCCAACCAAATTCCAAAACCAAGGCTCTGATACCACTCGAATTGTCACGACCCGACCCGATCCGGGACGGATCCCGCTCGTACCGGGTCACGACTAGAACGAACAAACTGACTGACCAGGATCTGGCTTTGGAATTTATTTCGAAACAGAATCTTTCAAATATTTCAACTCAAATACAGACACATAGAGCTACTATGAAACATCAAATGTAGCGGAACAAAACATATATATTTTTCTTTCTTTTCCTTAAAATAATTATCTACAACTACAGACCATGGCTCAGCAGAAAGAAACAGAGCAGAAGAGCCATGTCTGTACAAAAATCAAAAGTACAAAACAATATCTACATATCAGACTCTGAAATCTAGTCCTGGACTTCATTCCCTTTCCCAGAACCTGAAAACCACCAGAAAACAAGAGTGAGCTCAACAGCTCAACAAAGCGACAAACCTCCAATCAAAACTTCTAGAATCCAAAACCAAACACATCAGACCAAAATCTAATCAGAATTCGGAACAGAATCGTATACCGAATCAGAACAGAATAAAATCAGAACTTATACGGACATATATCAAATCAGAATCAGAGTCGTACAAATCAGATCAAATCAGAATACAAATCAGAACAGGTTAAATCAACAGAATCAGAATCGTACAGAAATCAGAAATTCAGACAGATCAGAACAAACAGATCAACAGAATCATACGGATCAGAACAAAACAGATACGAACATATATCGAATCAGAAGCAGATCAGAACAGATCAGAATATATAATCAGAACAAACAGAATTGTACGGAAATCAGATGTCATATCAAATCAGATATCATATATATAATTAATAGCTAAATCAGATATCAGATATATAATTAATAGCTAAACTAAACTAAACCTATAACTAACTAATACATAATCCTACGTTTATTCGACCATTATGTCTCCCTTGTTTGTCACGTGGGCATCAGTTTTATGTAGATAGCATATGTGTGTTACTTAGCACCAGAATTATGAATAGATTTTCATCGTTGAATTCCGGAACAGAGATAGAATTGTCTCCCAACTTGAGCTCCTCTAGATTTGGCCTTCCAGACACTAACTGAATCTCATAGGCATTCCAGCCCTTATAACTCCCCTTTATACTAGCATCATAAGAAGCATTATCAATTTCAGAGAAATGCCGGACAAATATTAGGAAAATTCACATGAAAATCGTTCTGGCAAAGCACAACGTTGTATTACGATAATTTTACACAATTTCCTGAAAAATCAAGAATCTCAAATTGCACAGCAAGTGTAAGATACCAACATTTTACAAGACTTTAATCTACTGCTGCAACATATTTTAGTACTAACAGAAAAAATCCAGTCGACGTGAAAAAATTCACCGCTCGAACAAAACACCCGGACAAAATTCCTCCAATGTAAATATTAGTGCCAAAATGTGTCACACTTCGGCCCGTGTCAATACATACAGGAAGTTACGCTAAAGAAAGAAGA